CAGAATTCATCAAATATTGGAACGTGGTAGGGGTGTTTGTCAACCCAAAAGGCATCACGAGAAATTCATAGTGCCCCTGATGTTTTCTAAAGGTTGTCTTATGAATATCTTCAGTTTTCATCTTGATTTGATGATATCCAGCCTTTAAATCAATCTTAGAAAAATACGCTGCCCCTTGTAACTCATCCAACAATTCTTCTATAACAGGTATTGGATATTTATCCTCCACAGTGACCCTATTAAGTTCTCTGTAATCCACACAAAATCTCTAGCTCGCATCCTTCTTTTTCATTAATATTACTGGACTTGAGTATGGGCTATTGCTAAGGCGAATAATGCTAAGATTCAGCATTTCCTCAACTTGTCTCTCTATCTCTGTTTTCATAAGATGTGGGTAGCGGTATGGCCTGACACTTATGGGTTCGGTGCCTTCCTTCAAAGGTATTCGGTGGTCTACTTTCCTCTCAGGTGGCAGCCCTTGAGGTTCTCAAAATACCCCCTCAAAGTCTGACATAATCTGTTTTAGCCTTGCCTCTTGCATCGGTGCCCATCTCTCTGCATCCTCATCTACCTCCACCACTTCTATTTTACTTAAGCACCACACGAGAGTCATGGCTTTTATCTCTTTTTCTTTTAAGAGAACTTCGGGTGTCACACCATTCTACATGTCAAAGTGGGATCCCATTTTATCTCTACTAATTATTTCCCTTCCTGCTCCACCTTCATAATGAGTTGTCCCTAATCCACTTTAATCTCTCCTAGGGAAGCTAACCCAGTCATTCCCAATATTACATCCACACCGCTTAACTCAAAGAGATACAATTTATCTTTGACTTCCAAACCGTCTAATTTCACGAGGACTCATGTACAATACCCACTGGTCACTTTCTTTTGCCCATCCCCTAAGCACACTTTATAAGGACGTTTGTCGGTGCTTTCCAAACACAACTCTTTCACCAATCTGGTGGATATAAAACTATGACTAGCTTCGCTGTCAATTAACACAAGAACACTCCTCCTCTGCATCCAACCTTGCAGCTTCATGGTATTAGATTGTGTGAGTCCTTCGGCCGACAACCCTGATAGTTCCATCGTCGTTTCTTCCATCTCGGCATTATCCTCTGCTTCGTCTTCTCCATCCTCCTTCGCCAATATCATGACATGCATGCTTCTCTTCGCTCAGCGATGGCCAGGACTATAAGGTCCGCCGTAGTCGAAGCAACGTCCCTCTTCATGTCTCTTAATATACTCTGGATACGGCAGAGTTTTGACCCCCCCTTCCTAAAGTGTTTCCTCCTCCGCTACTAGCTCGTCTTCGAATTCAAGTTATTCGCACTAACGTCATTTTTCATCCCTTGCCCTCCGCAGACCCCTCCGACGGGCCTCGATAGGTTTCCGTTCTCGCAACTATTCCGGAACTCGCGGAGTATCGTCCCCACGATGCCCATTTTTCCTCCAGCTCCACCACTCCCTCGTGGTGCCAACCCAGCTTGTTCGACGTCGCGAGCTCGTTCCATTGCCGTCAACAAGTCTAGTGGGTTGTGCGGTCTCACTAAGTTGCGCAATCCCTCCTACAACTCAGCAAAAAAATATCCTAGCAGTTGCTCTTTAGTTACTCTGGTTGCTTGCACCCTGAGTACTTCAAATTCCTAGATATACTCTTCGACGCTCCCTTTCTGTTGCACGATAGCCAACTTCTCAAATATAGTGCCCTGGTTCAGTCCTCCGAACCTCCGCGTCAGCGCCTCAGAAAACAGTTTCCATGTTGGGTGTATGGTTTTCTTTCGCCAGAAGCGGAACCAGTAGTTAGTGCCTTCCTCCATACATATATCAACCAGCTTCATCTTCTCTTTCTCCGTCACTCCTGGATGTCAAAAAACTTCTCGGCCTTTGCGATCCAACACGTGGGATCAGTTCCTTCAAAAGTTGGGAGCTCAACGCGCTTCATCCAGCTACATTGTACTTCGCCTTGGTCATCCTCTAATTCCTCCTCCAAACTCTTCGATGATCGTTGTTCTCGATCGACATTGATAGAATTCTGACTCTCTTCGAAGCTCCGATCTCGGTTCCCAGAGCGTCGTCCGAAAGCTCGTCGAAACTCTAGAGTCATGGATCGCATTTCTGCCTTCAACTCTTCCACCGTCAATTCCATAGCCACCATTCGTCCCTCCATTCTTTTCCGCTACAGCTCACTCCTCTTCCCTTCAAACAGATCCGACAGGTTGGACCAAAAATGTTAGGTTCCTTTATTCAAGGAACCAAAACAATAGCTTATCTTCTCACTCACACACTCAACAATAGAATATAAACTGTATGTATATGTATTTTTATTTCCTCTGTAATGTGTAGAAAGAAAATACAAGTATAGATCTCCCCCAAGGAAGCCTCCCTTCCTCCACTGGCCAAGAGGTCCAGTCTAAACCCAAACAAAATATCTCATACCCTCCTCGACATCTCAGCTTTTATTATATACTCTCTCTCTCCCCCTAACAAACTCACAAACTTTCACTTTCCCGATATTTACTTCCCTCCTCTTTTATTCCTTCTTACATAAACTTGTAACTTCCTAACAACGTCATTGAAGGCATTGAAGATGATGATGGAGATGAATAAGAGAGTGAAGTCTCACGGCCTGAAGAAGCAAATTGACACGATTCAGGAAAAAAATAACAAAAGTGATGTGGCACACCGTTAGACACATCAAATTAAATTTAACGTTGTTGCTTTTTGAGGACTACAAATTAGAGTTTCTTAAGGTAAAGGATCAAAGTAAAGCAAAGTTTGGAAGAGGGACGAAACCCAAAAACGCTTGATACTTGAGGGACGAAAAACATATTTAACCCTAATTGATTATTATAAGTCTTAATCAATTAATAAACCATTATCATGCTTGCTAATGAATTATTCTAGTAGCCATTATGAGCTTTTGTTTTTGAAAACTTGCTCTATGATACTCGATTCCTCATTTAGCTAATCAATTACCTACGAAGCTCAATTGGAGGACGAATCCACATACGACCTCGGTCGAATGACCAAACTACCTGTGAAACTCGGTCGGAGGGCCAATCTACTTACGAGCTGGGCCGAATGGCCAATCTACCCGCGAAGCTCGATCGGAGGGTCAATCCACATATGAGCTCAATCAAATGGCCAATCCACATACAAGCTCGACCGAATGGTCAATCCACCTACAAACTATAAAAATGGGCCAAGGCTCGGTCAAGAGATCAAACAAAATCATGTATGGCAAATCAAACTCCCGAGATTGAGGGTGCCTTATGTTCCTACCTAGCCCAACAGACATACTAAAGAGCACGGTCCAATAGGCCTATTAAGCCTTTCCATTTTAGAATAACTCAAACATACGTTTATTGGGGACAATATCCACATATCATAACTAATATTGACAATTTGGTATTATAGTTAGTTTTTATTATGAGGTATCCTTTTGTTATTATTATCTACTTTGTTATTATATACTTGAGATAAGAATTATTCCAATGATAAACATAGGTCCACAGTTTATATGGATCTTATAAATCCAACTAGTATTTTTCAAGAAATACTCACTCAAACATTATTATGTTAGTATAATACTAAAACATTATTAATTATGATTATTGTTACTCATCATATGTTTAACATTTTTAATACTAAAAATTAATAATCTTTAATTATAATTTTTCATATTTTAAATATATTACTAATTGTATATTAACACAATTTAAAATAACTATTAATTAAAATATATATTAAATATATTTTTCAATAGTATGACAAATTAATATTTGAAATTATTTAAATGAAAAGAAAAAATTTAGAAAAGTTATTCACAAAATATAAAGTGTTAGGGCTTCTAGGTGGTTGATTTTATGTTTATTTTCAAGAAAAAAAATTCCAACAAACAAACTTCTAAATTTTAGTCTCTATGGTTCCGTCCCTTTCTGTTAAACGTCGTTGACTATATATTTTCACAGTCAAATTTTTGGAAAAAAAAATTGGAAGTTTCTTTGACTCTTCTGTTTCCTTTTCCACTCGACGTCAGAACAAGAATTTCTATTATTTGTTGCTTGAAAATACATATTCCCAATACGAGAAAAAAATGAGTATTTACGTGTTAAAATGAAATTCAAATTCACCATATTTATATTTAATGATGGATTACAGTTTTTATTATTTAATTTTATAATTATCGCAAATACAGGGTTGAAAGAAAAAAAATTAAATTTTAATCAATCTAAAAATTAAAATCAAGATTGGACAAAACATTATATCTATTTAAATGATTATAAATATCTGATGTTATTTATAATTGAAACCACATTCCTTTAGGAATCTAATTCGGTGAGACAAAATTCCAATTTAACTTAAAACACTAAATATTCTCTTTTATTGACATTTCTCGGTATAACATTTCATTTAATAATTCGATTCATCCTTTTAAGATATAATTGGACACAGAATTTATAGAAAATCAATAATAGAAAGTAGCTCTAATAAGTTGCAAATATATAACTAAATTCATTAATTAAATATACTGATCTTGTAAAGAGAATTATCCATTTTTATCCACATTGTTTTCCGAATTTACGTTTTAAATAATTTTTAAAATTAAAATAATTATTTTATCTAATTTACTGTTTTTTTTTAAATTTAATAATTTTTAAATTATAAAATTGCCTATAAAATAAATATAAATTATTTACATTAAAATTATAAAAATGATTTATATTTATTTTATAATTATAATAATAATTTTATTACTTTTTATTTTTATAAAAAGAGAGTATCATATATATTTTTGCTATAATAATAATAATAATATCCAATATGTATGAAAAGTATACGTAAAGATTTTCTTTTATTAGAGATAGTGCCTCAATTTTTATTAAGATTTATCACTAGGCTAAAAAAATATAAACTTATTACTTTTTTTATTACTTAAAAATCATACTTTGTCAACAGAATTTCTAGATGTGAAAACCTTTTATATTATAGATTAAAAACATTAAAGTCAATTATTCAACAAATTTAAATAGAATATTTTAAATTTGAATAAAAAGAAAGAAAAAGAAAATCACTTAACTAACTTGTCCCTATGTATGAACCAACCACATAGGATATTGGAATGTTCTTCACCTTCAAACGCATAACTACGAAACAAAGTTTCATTCTTCACTCAGTTCTTTTCTTCCATCACACAGATACCCTTTCTCTCTTTTCTTCTTTCTCTTTCTCTTTCTCTCTCACCCGAAACCATGGATATCTTCCGCAATGATCAAGAACACGACCTCCCATATGTTCCAAACAGTGACGATTCAGACAACGGCACCAACGAAAACAAAAAGATACTCTACATATCCATGGTTTCCTTCACGCTTGTCTTGTTCCTCGTCTTCTCCCTCTACGTCTACGCGCGCTGCATGCTCACGCGCCGATCTCGCCACCGTGCCTCCGTTCGCCGACTCAACCTTGCAGCCCTTCATGTCTCCGACATGGACGCTGCAAACCGCAGGATCGAACCAGCAAATACAGGACTCGATCCTGGCATAGTAGCGTCGCTGCCAACGTTCACCGTGAAGGCAAAGGTTTTAAGAGATAGTAGTGGTGGTGATAATAATAACAGTGGCGGTGGTGGTGATGCTTCATCGGTAATGGAGTGTGTTGTATGCTTGAATGTTCTGGAAAGCGAAGAAAAAGTGAAGCTGCTACCGAACTGTAACCACTTTTTTCATGTGAGTTGTATTGACATGTGGCTTGGTTCTCACTCTACGTGCCCTCTTTGTCGGTCCGAGGTTAAACCTCGGATCCAACCACATGATCGTGAAGGTCCTGTTAGTCTTGCTCTTGATGATGCACCACCTCCTATGATTGATGATGGTGTTGGTAATGGTGAATCTTTCAAAGGTAATGGTTCGAATTCACGGTTGAGCTCTTTCAGAAGGATGCTTAGCAGGGAAAGATCTTCCAGAAGAGTCCAACCAAATGGTCATGATGAGGATGATGGTGTTGATCATGATTTGGAGAGACAATGAGTTTATGGTAGGTTGTCCTCATAATCTGTGTTCTTAGTTTTCTTGTCAGTGATGCACATACAGAAGGAGAAATATACAAATACTTGTTCTTAAATTGGAGTTCTTTTTCTGTATTGATCTTTAATTGAAATTCGAACTCCATGTTTTTGTGAAGTATACATGTAAAAGTTTGTATGAAACACTCCAACACAGGTTAATAAGATGAACTCGTATATATATCTTGCAAAACATCAGAAAAACACTTTAGAAAAGGTATTAAGTATTTTCTTTTAGTTAATTTACTTTTCACCCGTTATTAGTTAAAGTTGAAGAGATTTGGTGTTGAATCACCAACTTGTAGATTGTCTGTATTACTGAAAACTATAGAGTAGACCATGTAAGCTTCTTTTGGCTTTTGGTTTTAGGAAGTGAGTGGTTAATTTATTTCTTTTTTTGGGAAATTGTTCAAGATTCTGAACTTTTAGCTTTGATATTTGATATTGGAGGGGTTTCATTCTATGAGAATCAAACCATGAATCTAAAGCTGAATCTGTGAGATTGATTATATTTTTGCCTAAAATGTCTCAACATATACACTATAATTTTCAATGTTACCAAAGGTTGAAAGCTTGTAACAGTTATTTCCACGCAACTTGCTACAACCAAATTCCCAATATCTCTTTTATCACAAACATGACTTTGTTTGCTTAGATGTTGAATAAATATTATAATAAAATATATTTCTCCAAACCTTATAACATGTTCACACTTAGGTTGACGACTATTGAGGCAGAATTTTCTCAAAGAAAACGATAGACAGATTTTTCAGGATTGAATGTCTTAACGAATATAATGTTATGTATCACATGGTCATACAAAAACTGGCATCATCATATACCTATTTCAAGAATTAATTTGTAGAAGTCAAGGAGGGACCACCTCATGCAAAGCAATTTTCAATATAATTATATCACTCTTAACACGTTATTTGTTAGTTTCCTCTGTTTTTCTTCGTGACAGTTTCCAGTTTAATCTCACATTTCGTTTTCTCTTCTTATCTCTATTTTAATTATGTATGCTTTTATTCAATTTTATCAAACAAAAGTAATACTTGTTGATGGGTTTCCAAAAAAGCATTACTATTGAAAGAGAGTATATGAGTATAGAAGAAAATAAACACACAATATTCTATATATATCTCCTCAAACTTTGGTTGTCTAAGGGAGTCTAAAAGGAAATATATTTATATATTTAGACTAAATTTATCAATCGAGGGATTAGGGTAAATTGCCAATCTTTTCTCTTCCTCATAACTTAAACTAAATCCCACAATTTGAACATGTGTCTACAATAAAGCATTGACCAAAACTCAAAAACAAGGCACAAATCTCAGCAAAACAGATACATTCATTGTGATCTAGGTTGCCATAAAACAAAATTTGATATATATCCTATGATGTCTAACCTGTGCAATGCGAACAAGCAAAACTTTCTCTTTTGCAATTCCCTATCAAATCAAGGGCTATTTTCAGTTTCCACCTCCTATGATCCAAAAACAGAAACCATAAACATCAAAGGCCATAACCACCACCCCCAGGAAACTTTCCTGCATCCACTCAAATCTTCACTTGGTCCCAATCCAACAGAAGATGAAGGTGTCGACCCAGAAAAACTCCCATTGCTCCCTACCATGCTGCATCACCAAAAAGAATGTCTCAAAGACAGGATCCAACTCACTTTCAAGAAAATGGTAACAAATTTGGAAAGAAAAACCAGAACTACTCGATGTTATGTCCATACATAACAAATCATGAATGTGTTGAAATATCAATGAGATAACCTGCATTCGGGATTTTCTCGTTCACTCATTTGGTAAATGAGATCAAACTTAAAATATGCATTTCAAATGCAAACCTTTCTATCTCCAGCCAACGGTTTCAGTTTATCAATGCATAAACGTAAATGAATGTTCAGTCACCAAAATCAAAACTTTCTTTATAAAAAAAACCGAAGTTCATTATAAAAAAACCAAATCTAGCTCAATTTACCCGGAGTGGAACTTGCAGTTGCCAAAACCTGAAAAAAAAAATACACCCAAAAAGAAGAAAGAATGAGCCTTCTGCTTAAAAAACAAACCGAATCTGAAGACACTATTTTCACTGTTCCATATTGAGAAAGGGATTTTTCACTGACTAGGGTTGAGGGAAGTGACGGCAGCGTTGTTGTTGAAGTTGCAGCTATCGTCGGTCATGCCGTGTTTCAGAAAATAGTCGTTGAAGGCAAACGATGCCGTATTCTGCACGCTGCTGGGGTCGTAGCAGGGCCCACCACTCTGGATCGGTCCGCAGTCCGCGCCGCCGGCACCGCAGGCCCAGTCGAGCGCGGCCTGCAGCGACGCGTCCTCCGCGTTGTTCTTCGCCACACACCAGAGCTCCTGCGGCGGAGCGCTGCCATTAGCGGCGGCGATGAGCGGCGAGAAGCCCAGAAGGAGGAGGAGCGAAAGAACAAGGCTTTTTGATGTGGACATTATGAGAGAGTGATTGGAAAGTGAAGGAGATGAAGAAAGTGAAATGGGTTGGGTTTGGATTTGGGTTAATGTTTGGGATTTAAGAGTGTGTGAAGAAGATGAAAAAGAAGAAGAAGAAGAAGATGAAAAAGAAGAAGAAGAAGAAGATGAAAGATGGTGGAGTTATTGGGATGTTGGAAATGTGACCGTTTCTGTGTTTGAAGGGGGAAATTGAAGAGACAGAGAAGAATGAATGAGAGAAAGGAACACGTTATGGAGTTGTAACAGTGACTGTCTGGTACATCTGGAACTTTGTCTGCTTGCAACGTTCACACGTTCCAATATTTTATTTACATTTATATATATATATAATTCTTATAGAATAAATTAACTTTAATTTAAATAAATATTACTTTTCTACTATTTTATGTTTTAGTGTTTTCATCTTATGGGTAGATTATGTATTAAAACATTTAAAACAGATTTAGCTCTATGATGAATTTTGTTGAGTATCCAATAAATTATATTTCTCAAATTATTTGATAAATTTTAGTTTAATTTCAGAATAATTTATTGGCTTCTAAATTTACTTTCTTATTTTTGGTAATATAATAACTTATTTACAATCTGAAAAGATTATAAAATAAACTTCATATTTATCATTCTTCACCATTCAGATCATGTGTAATTTATAAAATTATGAAACTCATTTAAGTCTCCCTTAAAATATTCATTTTGCTCATTTTATAGAAAAACATAAACCATTTTGCATAATTGATTGGTCTTATCAACAAGAAGCTCTAGGAAAACAGTAAAATATCATATTAAAAGTTAAAACTTAATGTACCAAAATGTAAAATGTAAAATCACGACAACAAATTAATATAAAAATATCTTGAATAAAAAAAAATCATGAATGCAATATTTCACTTGTTATAACATTCTGTATAATAATTAATATCATGCTTTCAACATTTTCTTAACTCATTTTTCTGATTTAATATAATAAGTCAAGTCATATATTATATAAAAACATTTTAGGTTATTTCTTCATCATATTATATACATCATTTCTTTTCTTTGAAAAACATGAATGAGAAGAAAAAATAGTCTCTCCTGGTGAAAATATAATATTAGTATAGTGTAAGGACAGGACGGTCCTACGTAATAGTTCACACCAAGTAAACCAGACGATTCTGGAAAAGAGAGAACAACTAAGCAGTGAAGAAGTCTCTAGACCAGCAGATAAGACCGAACGACTATAATCAAGAACGTTCGGTCTTATTCGATAAGACAGGTTTTCTTTACACGGATTAAACTAAATGGTAATTAAGGATAGAGAGTTACTCCCTCCACCATCACATAGTGCTCCCTCCACCTCCCTATTCCTCTTTTACCTTTCAATAATATTTAAACAAATGTGAATATGCGTTGAATTCTTAAATAGATGTCAATATCCATGATCGGATATCAACACTTGTTGAAGGACAAACGAATGTTAATATCCGTTTAAACATAAATTATGAGAAGGATAGCTCCCTGAATAGCATAAACTAGTTTTTAAATACTGATTTTAGTGGCTAGACTGAACTGATCAAAGGACTGGCTCACAGTCAAATCAGTTGGCCAGACTATCCTGGTCGAGTTTTCTCAATCATGATGATATCTATACCATAGCTCCAGAATAAATACAACTCATCAAAATCTTGCATGAAAATAATCTTGTACGATGATATTCTAACAGATCTTAAGTAGCAGAATATGACTTTTGGAAGAAATCTTCTAAAGTTAATTAATTGGTGTAAGTTTCATTTTGTTATGCATTGGTGTCATTAGATCCTGAGTTTCTATTCTCATAATTTTGGGTGTATCCATGTCTTTAGTTTGATTTTTAAATGATCGAGATTGCTAATTTCATTTGTACACCTTCTACAATTTTATAGTGTTGTGCGGCTTGCGAACTGGCAGTGGTCACAATCCCATGGTACTTTTTTTAAATCATTTTAGGTTGCAAAAAGGTAAATAAAGTTAAATTAATGTAGGGTATTTTTGGAATGAAAAAAGGTGGGAAGGTGTAGGAAGTATTTGGGGTAGTGGAGGGAACAACTCTCTTAAGGGTGTTAGGTTGAGATTAGACCGAAATTAAGGTTTTAGTAATCTCAGCTCATACCAAAAACTATAAATATAGATCAAAGGTGAGGTAGGTGATCGCATTTATTGTGCATTAATACCATTGATTTGAATTCCTTTAGGGATAATTTGCTGCCTTAAGTATCAAATTGTGCAGATATTTGAATAGAGTCGATTTTATACCCGAAACAATTAGCATTTGCATAAATTTTTAATCTAATATTGATATTTTTAAATTTTCACTTGCATTTTATATGTTTCTTCATTTTTATATTTTATTTCCTTCCAGCATTTTCCTTTTTTTACATGTCAAAATTGAATGAATACGAAAATGAACATGAACCAATAGAAACTACTCACCCTCGGTATTAAAATAGTTTACAATTTAATATATATATATATATATATATATATATATATATATTAGTTTTTCTTCCTTGAAAAATATGTAGGTGACAAATTATACAACATAACTTTTCAATAAAATCTTAAAACAAAATAATTCAATTATCAAATAACACAACATATAAATCAATCACTATGTTCTTCTTCCGTTTAAATAACATTGGATATAACTCCTTCCTCAACTTTTCCATCATTGTTATTTTCCTTATCAACATTTACATGCATTAAAATAATAAAAATTAATTAAAGTAAATAGTCTTAATTAAATTACTTGAATTATCTTTTAAAATCATGTTTTCAACTATAACAACTAATAATTGCTTTCATATTTTCAAGTAAGAAATTATTTCTATACTTAAGAATCTAACAATCACTCATAAATGCATATTCATATTAACAAACCACTAAGTATTAAAAAGAATCTTATAAACATTGCTATTCTTCCACCATTGTAGCATATCCATTTAAGTGAAAATCTTGTATAGGTTTCTTCCTTCATTTTTCCAAAATTTTGCTTCTACATAAGTGGATCAAATTTTTAATAGAAAAACACAATGTTTCCAATTTCGTCGTCGACTTTAAAATTTTACTAAGTGCAAACACAACACTACATTCATCTTAACATTTCTCAAACTTCACCCTTATCAATTTAGATATATTCGTAATCACTTTATCCTCATCTTTTACATTTTTCGTTAACAAAAGTTTAACTTTTCAAACTAATAAAAAATCAAGTTCAGAGTAGGATAACTTGTAGCAAAACTAAGGTAATGATATCATATGATTACAATCAAACTTACAAATTATTCTATTCATTTTCTCTTTTTTTTTTTCTAAAGGACAATATGTATTAAATTTGCCAACCAAATACAAGCTTCCAAAACACATGTTGATAATATAAGAAATTTTTAAGCATCAAGTTGAATTTCATCTTGTAAAGACATCAAGCACAACCAACTTGATGCATAAATCTCATTAAACCTTTGAAAACATTGATTGAATTTCATCATTCATTCTCTACACTAGTGCATAAAAGACCTTTAACGTCACCCTTTAGACGTCCGACCCTCGAATATCCAACGTAAAAAATTATCGGTGACATTTTTCGTAAATAAAACA